CGACAGTATTGGGCATTTTTATATAGCCCGGGCATTATGAAAAATGACCAATTAATCATATGGTCCATAACATATACAACAGGAGTAATACCCTAAGATTGGTTACTGTTCACGTTTGTAATACTACCCAAGTTAGCACATGCGACAGATTGCCCCCAGTACAGAGCAGTTTCCTTAATAAGCCACACACTTATACTACACAAAAAATAGAAGAATATGTAGATGACATCCAGTTTGGATTCATAGAAAGACTAGGAACGAGAGAGGCTCTGTTCGCATTTAACGTTCTCGCGCAAAGACGACTATATATGAACCAGGATCTTTTTGTCTGCTTTATAGATTATCAAAAGACTTTTGATAGAGTATGACTGGGCACTCGTAAATCTGTTAAAAGAAAAAAATGTGGATGGTCTACATAAACGTATTACTATCAACCTGTAATGGAATCAAAAATCAAAGGTTAAAACCGAAAATGTCGATACAGAAACTCTAAAAATCAAAAGAGGTGTTAGACAGGGTTGCGTGCTGTCTCCATTGTTATTCAATATGTAAATCGAAGCTACTTTCAAGGAAGGAATATCAGAGGAACAACAGGGTATATCAATAAACGGAAAAATCTTGAACAAGATTCGCAGGCGATACCGCTGTTTTTGGAGACAGTCTAAAAGCACTGCAACGCTTATAGACTAGGCGGCATCTGTAGAAATTCAGACCATAATGGAAATTTTTGAGGGAAGCTATTTTTTTGCTGGAATCCCTTCAGGATATGCCCAGTATCGATAATCACGATATGCGCCAGTCGCAAACCCTGTGCTAAATTTTTTATTCAACAAAATCTGAAAACAATTGAAAATTTCTCATTTTTTTGCTCCTATTTTCATTTATAATTCGAAAAATATTGATCTTAGAGAAAAAATTATCAGTGGTTAAAAGTTTCGTTATTAAATTTTACACAATATTTTGTTAGCTAGAAATTGAAAATTTAATGGTTATTGTTGAAAAAATAGCAATAATTGGAAAAAAAAGTACAAAAAAATGAAGTTATTCCTTTAAATGTTTTCGACTTTCTAAACTTGACTTACAAGTTCCATATTCCGCCTAGAAAAACTTTTTAATATGTTTAAAACGTGTGCTAAATTTTGTTAAGATCGGTCGGATAGGTTTTGAACAATAATTTTTCAATCCAGCCTACTGGAAAAAAATCGCAAATTTTCAAATTCATAGTAGGCCCTAAATAAGGCCCTCAGATAGTTGCAATTTTTTTTACATATAAAGGAAGTCTCACACGTTCAAAACGCTTTTTGTAAAATTTAAATCGGTTTACTAGGAAAGCCTATAAATTTTTTAAAAGTTATAAACATTTTTTAGGCTTATAAACAAATTAAATAACTTTACGAGCTTTAAACATATCAATTTCAAAATGTATACACTTAAAGAACATTAAAAGACGCTTCTTTTAAAAAACAAAAAGATACATTCGGCTTACTGGTTGCCGAGATATTGAAGGTCAAAGTTGGCATACATTCGCCGTGTAACCATAAGTGATAGAGGGCTCGTTTTTAAACAAATACCCTCGTCTTATCCAATACTTTTTATATGAAAAGTTTTACGTAATGCGCTTTATGGCAATATCCATAAAAAAGACAAATAAAAACCGTTTTCGCGTAATATGTCGCTCGGAATGCATGAGAGGTGGTAATGAGGGACATTCACTTCAAATGTGAATCGGCGGGTATCAAGTAGGGGACCATCAGTTTGTTTAATTTCGGTTTTGAAATAAAAACAAATAGTAAAATGCTCCAAAATCTGTAAGGGCTTGTATTAAAGGCGTGCTGAACACGTGTTTCAGTGGTTTGATCATATTATGTTCAACGCTATTATATAGTAGTTATATTGTCAAATCCGTGAGTTTTAACAGTAAAATATTTTGTATTTCAAAAACTAATAAAAAGTTTATATATTTCGCGTTGCTTTGTGAGGATTGTACGAGCACATCGACTCCATTTTAAGAGAAGTTCTGTATATATTTTATATTTTTAAATATTTTATATAAAATGATTGACGTATTACTAATAATTTTTTTACTAAAATTATTCTAAATTCATATAATTTAAAATTTAGATAATACTTGGAATCTGAGAGGCTAAACTATTTTACTTTTTTAGATTCAATGATTTGAAAAGATGAGTGAAAAAATCTGCCTCCTTTGTGACGAATTATTGTCGATATGTAAAACTCGAGTAATTAAACAAGACAGCTTAACAAAATGTATACAATCCAGTTTGGACATGAAACACATTGATTTAAGAAAATTTAATTCGCTTAAAGTTGCAGAAATAAATTATTTTTAATGTTAATTATTTTAAAATGTTTGATTTTTACAAAAAAAAATTTCCTTCGTTTTAAAACTTTAAATTATTTATTAACAATTTATAAATACATATTTGTTTACTAAAAGTAACAATTTACTTTACAAGCCCTTACAGATTTTGGAGCACTTTACTTTTGTTTATATTTCAAAATCCGAAATTACACAAACTGATGGTCCCCTACTTGATACTCGCCGATTCACATTTGAAGTGAATGTCCCTCACCACCACCTCTCATGCATTCCGAGCGACATTTTACGCGAAAACGGTTTTTTATTTGTCTTTTTTATGGATGTTGCCATGAAGCGCATTACGTAAAACTTTTCATATAAAAAGTATTTGGCAAGACGAGGGTATTTGTTTAAAAACGAGCCCTCTATCACTTATGGTTACACGGCAAATGTATGCCAACTTTGACCTTCAATATCTCGGCAACCAGTAAGCCGAATGTATCTTTTTGTTTTTTAAACGAAGCGTCTTTTAATGTTCTTTAAGTGTATACATTTTGAAATTGATATGTTTAAAGCTCGTAAAGTTATTTAATTTGTTTATAAGCCTAAAAAATGTTTACAACTTTAAAAAAATTTCTAGGATCTCCTAGTAAACCGATTTAAATTTTACAAAAAGCGTTTGAAAGTTTGAGACTTCCTTTATATGTATAAAAAATTGCAACTATGTGAGAGCCTTATTTAGGGCCTACTATGAATTTGAAAATTTGCGATTTTTTTCCAGTAGGCTGGATTGCAAAATTATTATGCAAAACCTATCCGACCAATCTTAACAAAATTTAGCACAAGTTTTAAACATATTAAAAAGTTTTTCTAGGCGGAATATGGAACTTGTAAATCAAGTTTAGAAAGTCGAAAACATTTAAAGGATTAACTTCATTTTTTTGTACTTTTTTTTTCCAATTATTGCTTTTTTTTTCAACAATAACCATTCAATTTTCAATTTTTAGCTAACAAAATATTGTGTAAAATTTAATAACGAAACGTTTAACCACTTATAATTTTTTCTCTAGGATCAATATTTTCCGAATTATAAATGAAAATAGGTGCAAAAAAATGAGAAATTTTCAATTGTTTTCAGATTTTGTTAAATAAAAAATTTAGCACAGGGTTTGCGACTGGCGCATATCGTGATTATCGATAATGGGCCCATCCTGAAGGGATTCCAGCAAAAAAATAGCTTCCCTTCGAAAATTTCCAATCCAAAACAGATCCCGCTTAGACTATTAGTAAATAGATTACATCTAGTCAGTATAAAATATGGACTACAAATGAACGTTAGGAAAACCAAGTGCATGATTATTTCCAAGCAACAATCTGGTTAAATGAAAACAATGACCAAGGTATAGAAATAACGACACGAATTGAAACTGCAAGACAAGCATATACAAAAATGAAAACAAAGTTTGTTAATCGAGACCTTTCTCTGAAGCTTAGGATAAGAGCCTTAAGATACTACGTGTTCTCGACTTTGTTGTATGGAATGAAAAACTGAACACTAAAAGTGGATAATATCAATAATTTGGAATTATTTGAGATGTGGTGATATAGAAGCATTTTGAAAATATCATGGATCCAACGAGTTACAAATGTAGAAGTGTTAAAACGGTTACAAAAGAATTGCGAGGTCATAAAGCATATCAAAACAAGAAAGCTGGAATATTTAGGCCACATTACCAGAATTGCGAAATATGAGGTATTAAGGCTTATAATGTAAGGTAAAATCAAGGGTAAAAGATCCATAAAAAGACGAAGAATTTCCAGGCTAAGAAACCTAAGAGAGTGGTATGGTTGCAGCTCAGTAGATCTTTTCAGAGCAGCCCCCAATAAGGTACACATAGCTGTGATAATAGCCAACCTCCCATACGAGAAGAAACTACAACAAGAAGATAAGGTATAAAGAAATAAAAAAATGTAAAATAACCTTTCATTTAAATATGTAAATAAAATGTGATTTGTAACTGTGTGTATATATAATATGTGTGTATGAATAATATGAATTAATATAAATAAATATAATAATATAAAGTTTTTATTTATTTATATTTTTTTACATAAATATAAATCAAGAGCACCTACCTTACTTTCAATTTCCTCAAAACTGAACATTTTTAAACACTACCCACTACCAGCTTTTAAATAGCCACGGTTGAATATACTAAATTTCAGACATTTAACGTAATTAAATCTTAATAAGAATAATTTTTTGAATATTATAGTCCCGTTTTGTACAAAAACCGTCAGTATAAACCCGGTAGTGCCTGAAAGCGCATTCGAACCGAACTGAAACACCTGAAAAGCTCCAAGCTTGCCACCACCAACGTTATGTTCAACAAACTGCGACAATCGGTGTCATGAACCAATTTAATAATTCTGTCCGAAGAAACTCAATTCAGACGATTATTGAAAAGAATACTTTTCAAATTCCTAAATTAAGTAGTGGCAAAAATCAATGAAGTTTGAAAGAGAACAAAAAAGTGTGTCTACCTAAAGGGTCACGTTAGAAAGATTATAAAGGTGATGAATGAAAGCGGCGTAAGCGTCATTTTTATATTATTATTTGTATAAAAATTTTACATAGAAAAAGATAGGTGCATGATAAATGTATTCATAACATGTTTTTCTATAGCGTCAATAATCGTTTCTCACAACTAGGTATATATTTTCCCTTAAATCGCTGAGGTAAATTTACCAGAGTAAATGGTGTATAAAAAGTACTATTTCCAGTAAGTTGTTTTAACCTGAAATTATTTATATATTTATAGTGTCAACAGCCTGCATAAAATCTAGTAGTTAGTTGGTTTTAAAGTTTCACGTCAGTTTTTTCTTCTTTTGATTATATAGGTCACTTTCACGTTTATTTTAGTATGCTTTACAAGCTGTTAATAACATACTTCTTCCTTGTGTACCTTATCAATTTCCTTTGGCTTAATTAGGGAATAATTAGGAATAATCCTGTACAAGCACGTCTTCTCTCATTTAAAATTCTGCGATTTCTCTCCTAATTGGAAAATTTTTGTTCCCTCTTCACACAGAAATTCTATCCTCCATATGTACCACAATGAACCTACAGCAGGTCATCTAGGTAGGTGTTCAAAAATCCTTGATAGAATTTCTTGAATTATACTATTGGCAGTGGCGGCTCGTGGCTTGAGAGACAAGGTCGGCAAGATATTTTTTATCTCCTCAGATAGGCGTACCGTCTAAGAAAGACTTCAATCATCATAGGAGATTTTTTGTTTTCTTGTTTTTTGTTTTTTTTTTTTTTTGTTTTTTCCTATACATTTAGAACCTAAACATGTTTATAAATTAACTCTAGTCTACGTTGTTTGGAAGTAGCAAAATGGGTAATAACGTCATCGTAAAATTTATTAGAGTTTTAGAGAGATTTTAAAAGTTTTTTTTTCTATTGACATTTGAGACAAGCTTGACATTCTCTCTTGTTTCATGGTATTTTGACAATACGTTTTGATTCTTTTGAGGCAAGAGAAATCTCGTTCATTTGAGGCAGATTGGTGGTGGTAATGAGAGAATTAATGACAATAATTTATTAATTTCGGTAACAGTTTGTTGCAATGAATTGCGGTATATTAAATTATACATATCTTGTAACTTATCCCATCTTCCGAAAATATTTGGAAAAGCATATAAAACTTTTAATTCATTTTCTAATTTTATTTTATTAAAGAATGATGGATAATTTTTAATTAACCTGTCTAATAAATATCTTGGAAATTCTTTGGCGTAACTTTTAAATTTTGAATCGTCAAAGAGGTCAAAAATTTGCAAATCTTCAAAATTCGAAAAACGAGTATCTATTTGCATAATAATAGTATCCAAAATTTCAAAATATACTTGTTTTTCGAGATCTGTTTCTGTGTCATGCCTTTGTCCTTTTTTTGGGGGGGTTCGGAAATATCAAGCCAGTCCAAAACGTCACTGCGTATATACTGGAAATTACTACGGAAATCTCAGATTTTGCACCAGTCTTGTTATTCTATTTTTGGAATGAATAATGTCAGTTAACTGATTTTGAACAACATTGAATATCAAATCGGTTTGGGTAAATACTTTCTTAAAAATATTTAAAAGTATGTTAAAAGAGTAATCATTCAATAAAGTTTTCAAACCGATTGCTTCACGGATCGAGATATCATCACTTTCAAAAACGTGTTTGTGATTCACGAAAACTTCGTTTCAAAAACGAAACTTTCAAAAGCTATCCTGCAAAACTAAATTCATTCTATGTGCATGACAGTGAGTAAATAAAGCTTGCGGTGCAATAGTTTTAACTTTTGCCTGGAGACCATTTAATTCACCAGACATCACGGCAGCGCCGCATAAGTTTGCCCTACCAATTTATTTTTGACATCAAAAAATTTTAATCTGTCCTTTAAAACACCAAAAATATATTCTGCCTTATGGCTTTTACTCACGTCTGTAAAACCTGAACAACAATTAATAATTGTGAATGACATGATATGTCGGTAGTTTCATCTGCTTCTGGTAAAAAGCAAATGGTTTCCTGAATCTCAGATTCAATAACGTTACTCAAAATGTAACTAATTGATTCTATTAATTCATTCTGGATTGTTTTAGATACACCGCTAAATGTCTTCGAATTATAAAGTAAATTAGAAAATTCCAAATCGTATTTCTTAAACATTTTTATTAGTTCTCTATAATTACCTTTATTTAACGAATGCTCCGATTTATCGTGTCCCCTAAAAGATAATTTCTCACAACTTAAAAAAATCAGAATATCAATTAAACGACGTAAAACTGCGTGATTATTTTTTACAATTTCGTTATGTTTAATAGCATTTTCACGTTGGGCATTCTAATGAAACAGATATTTTGTTTTCCAAATAAATCTAATTTAATCTGGCTGTAAGTATGATCTTTCGAAATATCATGTTTATGTAAAGCCCTAAATAATTCTTTTAAATTATCGTAACCAGATTCACACCACGGATTTTGATGTTTGCCCCTCTTTGTCGAAAATAAAATGCAAGGCCAACAGAAAAGTTTTTGTTTTTTATTTCACTCCCGATAAGCCATGAGTACTTGCTGTACCAATTATCTGAAAATGATCTATTACTTCCCTTACCCGCACTAATATTTATAAGCCGGGACATTTTAGGCAAAGGACGCCCCTTATTTTTAATAACAATTTGTTATTCGTATGGAATAGATGAAAAACCATTATGCAAAATATAATTTACAATATCAGACTTATCAATACTTACAGTTTCTCCCATGGCTTGCATTTTTTAAGTTAATTTACCTGAATTTGTTTACACTTTAATTAAAAAAAAACTTCTAATATGTCAAAAAACCCTTTAACCTTTAAACTATTTACGACAGACGTAACGTATCACAGTATTACTTTAGAAAATAAAAATAAATCACAAAAAGAAAGGCTAGTTCGTGCACTGAATATCACTTCACTTTACTATTTACGTTCTTATATTATGAAATAACATTTCATCCCGCGCTCGCGATGTACAGTTCGCGACCAATCACCAATCCAATTGAAATATCGGCAAATTTAAATTTGTCGTACTTGGTAATTAAGTTTATATGGAACGAAATGTATATTTGGTTGCTAACCAACTAATATTTCGTTGATTTTTACAAGTAAATCTATAGGTTGGGATCGGCAAGCCGAAAAAACAAAACGTGCCTTTTTAAGAATTCACAGGCGGATGGATGTCTCTGATATCGGATGAAATCGGATCATCAATTTGAAAAGTGTCTACGCAGGGATCACTTAACGCTCAGACGAATTCTTTTAAAAACCATGATTAAAATTTAGTCTGGTCGAATTGGTCTAATCCTTTTAGAAACCATGAATAAAATTTAGTCTTTATTATCTCACAAATATTTTTTTATTTTACAAAAACAAATGACATCAACTGATTACCTGCCACAATTATTTATTGAAATACTGATTAAATTAAATATTAAAAAAGTCTATAATATCTATAAAGGTGTGGTTCGGCACTGCCGACCCTGCCGACCCTGACCGGCCGCCACTGACTATTGGCCTAAAATGAGACATTTTGTTTTAAAATATGTCTCTAAATGCAAGGTTTGCGCTTCCTGTAAATCATCACATTTACCCCCAGCAGGTCGGATGGGTAAATACATGGATATAACTACGCCTTTTAGTTCCTCTCAGCCCACCTTCCAGGTTCTTACACTCGGTCTAAGAACGGCAATCGATATCTTTTGGTCATTATAGATTGGTTCACCAAGTTTATCTTAGTTCACCCCATGTCCTCAGCGACATCTGCTAGCATCGTGAAATTTATTGAAAATCAGGTCTTCCTAATCTACGGTCTCCCGCAGATTTTTGCTTCTGACAATGGTCCTCAATTCATTTAAAAGAAAACAAATGACGGTATTATATTTTGATTTGATACAGAGTAGCAACAAGCCGCATATACGTATTTCGATCTCTTTAGATCTCCTCAGTACGGTATAGTTACTACTCCATATCAAACCAAAATATTTTCCCGTCGTAGATTATAGTTATTAAAAATAACTATTTACGGACGTAACTACGCCATCTAAGAACAAAAAGAGAAATCATACGATTTCTACCTGGCGAAATCGAATTCAAATATAGGCCGCCGTGCTCCCTAAGACTTGCGAAGCAAACAGCTTGATGAATGCATCGGCAAGGGAGTCTAAAAATTGCACTCCAAATGCCGTCCATCATGGCCTATATTCGTAGTGAATCCGATTTCTGGTACTCCAAATGAAGTAAATAAACAAAACAAATGACGGTATTATATTTTGATTTGATACAGAGCAGCAACAAGCCGCATATACGTATTTCGATCTCTTTAGATCCCCTCAGTACGGTATAGTTACTACTAAGCAAACAGCTTAGACTCCCTTGCCGATGCATTCATCAAGCTGTTTGCTTCGCAAGTCTTAGGGAGCACGGCGGCCTATATTTGAATTCGATTTCGCCAGGTAGAAATCATGTGATTTCTCTTTTTGTTCATTTAAAAGAAATTTAAGGACCTTATGAAACGATACAATGTCCAGAAAATCTGGTAATATTTTCCCCAGCTTAACTGGACTGAGAGGGTAAACAAAACTATCGTAACAGACATTCGCTCTTTTATTCAGAACAACCACAAAGATTAAGATAAAGACATATTTAATATAGCCCCAGTCAAAGCGATACATTGATATCGGGTGGACATGTTTATCGATAAAGTCATTAAGCTCCCAATTTTTGTAACAATTAGAATATTTTAATTTCGTCGCCTTTAAAAATATTTACATATTGTAGTAAAATAGTGATAAAAAAGTGAAAATATTCTCCCCTGATGGAGGAGAATACTAATAAGACGCCAATGCGCGAACTAAATACTTCTGAATTTATTGGTGTTAGTGAACAAGATATGGATACAGGAATTAATACCACCGTTTCTCCTGCTACAAGGGAAGTAAAACTTTTTAATATTAATTCTAGTAATTACGACTTTAAAAATTGTTGTGTATATGTTGAAAAGACCAATGATCAGAATATAGGCCGATTGCACCTTATAGTTGTGGGTGATGATATTTGATGTTTGGTGATGATGATATTTGGGTTTTGATATTTTACATCAAAAATTAAAGATCAACAATATTAAGGAAATTAAAAGTGTAGGAAGAAACTGTGTTAAAGTAATCCTCAAATCTATTTTTGATGCAAATAAATTAGTCAGTAATAGTCATTTAAAAGACGATAATTTAAAGGCGTAGGTACATTCCCAATCACCTCTTAGAAATCAAAGGGCTGATACGTAATGTCGATACCAAAGATTGAATATTTGAAAAAATATGTGACCTCCAGTTCACAAATTATTGATATTAAAAGAATGCACAGGAAAATAGAAAAGGATGGAAATACAGAATATGTACCTAGACGTAATGTTATAATTACATTTGAAAGCAATTGTTTGCCAAACTATGTTGTAATTAAATATGTATATTTTCAAGTTGAAAAATTGTTAGGTAAACTTACACAATGTTATAAATGCCTCAAATTTGGACACATTTCTAGACAATGTAAAGGTACACAGGAATACTGCATACGATGTGGAGAAATTAAAACTGATACACATACATGTGATGAAAAAAAAATGTATTGCATACACTGTAAAAGTGATAAGCATATATCGATTTCTAAAAACTGTCCTTTTTTCGAACATAAAAAAAATAAAAGATATTATGATTGAATATAAAATTTCATATTTGGAGGCCAAAAATTTGAACGATTCTTCTTTTTCTGGTCTTATTTGTAGGGTAAACTGTGCAAATACCGGTCAGTGGGTAATGGCGGTCATCCCGATTGTGCGAAATCTATTCAATCTGGCAACCTCCTATAACTGCCAACGTGTCGCTACACTACTCTCTATTCAGATTGCTGACGAGCGTTGAGTTGGCGCAAACCATTGTCATAGAAATATTATTAACCTGTTTTCAGTGTTTTCGATCTTATTTTTATGCTGAGTAATATAAGGTCTTAATTCATTTTTATTCACTTGTAGATCTTAAAATTGGTTACACTTGATTATAATGACGTTAGCTGCCTATTCCTTTTTTAAAGATCAATATTTTAATACATGTTTACGAGTAAAAAATTCTAAGAAAAAAAATGCCAACAGGAGGCATTCAATGTCAGTTGACCGGTATTACCCCCATGCTATAATTTATACCCTATACTATTAATCCTTAGGGATTAATCCATCCATTTTTCGACATTGCAAGAAAGAATAAAAAATAAAAATCTTCAAGGTGTCTCATTAGGCAGAAACTCAGTATTTTCTGCCGAACAAGAAGCTAAAATAGCCACACAAAAAAATATTTAGCTTAATTTTTTATGGCGTAACAGTAGTTCTTTGGAATCGGATATTGATATATCATGTGATAACAGTGACGATGCATACGAAGATAGATGCCTGGTTTACAGCGAGTTTGGCAAAAACAATGAATTGTGATATATATTTACTGTTTCTTCACGATGGGCTTATTCAGAGTGCAGTGGATGGGATTCTGCAGAGAGTTATACCTGCGATGACTGTCAACTATTTTTTACATTAAAACACATATTTATGTTATTTTTTGTTTGTTTTGTAATAAAAATTATGTTTTCACCTCTCTTACTGATTTACTTGAATTATGACCCATTAAGCCACATTCGTTAATCGTTTTATAACAAAAAAATGTTAAATAGATATTGATTTTTATTTTAATAATAACACAAACAAATTGACTGGCATTACCCACACTCATGACCGGTATTGTCCATGTATGGTGACAATACCGGTCAAAGATACTATTTTATGTTTTGTCTCTGTCAAAGACAAAAATTTTATATTTTTGAAATTAAATGTATCTTGCAATAAGTTAAAACCCCAAATTACGGATTGACGGCTTAAATTTGATTCACAGAGTTTTACTTTTTTTATATTAAATTTTCTTCTTAGGTGACCGCGATTTGCACACTTTACCCTAATAACAGATTTGAAATATTATCAAATTCAGATAAAGAATTTCCAAAATTAACTAACACATCTGAAGTTAATATACCTGCTTATTCCAACCTATTGAGGCCTCATTTACAGAAAACCAAAAATATTAGTCAACCAAGTTGTAAATCAAGCACTGATTATAGGAAAAATAAAAAAAGAAAAGTATCATCTCCAACTTCCGA